GGTTCACAGGCACCTTCACCACACCATTGTGTCATCAACAAGGCTCGCAGGCACCTTCACCACGCCATTGTGACATCAACAAGGTTCACAGGCACCTTCACCACGCCATTGTGACATCAACAAGGCTCGCAGGTACCTTCACCATGCCATTGTGCCATCAACAAGGCTCGCAGGCACCTTCACCACGCCATTGTGCCATCAACAAGGCTCGCAGGCACCTTCACCATGCCATTGTGACATCAACAAGGTTCACAGGCACCTTCACCACGCCATTGTGACATCAACAAGGCTCGCAGGTACCTTCACCGTGCCATTGTGCCATCAACAAGGCTCGCAGGCACCTTCACCACGCCATTGTGACATCAACAAGGCTGCGCGCGCGTGCAGGCGTCCGGGTGTCGCCGTAAGCGGGCAGGAAAGAACGGCTCCAACGTTGAATCAAATCCGCAGGCGGCTGAGCATGCCGAGGTGGGTTTTTAATTTGGCGCGCAAAAACGCGTGGTGGTTATTCCGTTTTCTTGCCGCTTTGACTGGCCCAGCGAAGAGGTTGGACACTCTTGTTGTTTTGGCTTTTACGGTCGTGTTCAGAAGACTTTTGTTGAACACCGTTAGGCCGCTTCGACTTCGAATTTATTTTGTACGTTGGCCAGCGAACAAATACTAAAACTTTGGCGTGATGCAATATGTGAATGAATGCAGGAGATTCATGGGCACTGAATATGGATACTGTACTTCTGCCAGGCAGTACATTAGCAGTACTGTACTTGAGTGTCATCTGACCCATATCAGTTCTCTGATTGGATAACAACTACAGACTGCCAGCTTAAATCCGATATTCTATGCGGAGGTTGCTGTAATATACGGGACTATGTTTTACACGTAGCAGGCTTTCACGACCAATATTGTTCATAATAAAGCTTTTTGGGTTAGATCGCGTCAGTATAAATGTGTCGTAACCCTCCACCACCCTACATGGCCAGTGAGGATTGTCACGGAAACAACAACGCGCCAATTAGTTTACTACTTCAGCCCACCGGTGTGTTGGAGAGTAAATCCACAACATTAACAATTCGCCTGATGATGCTGGTTTATGTAATTGCCAGCGAAACGTCTTTACTCAAATTGTAATTGTTGTGGATTTCCTCTCCAACACACTACCTCACCTGGTATGCAGGAGGTCGTGGGTTGGTTTCTGACCCTGACGCCTGCTGCTGTATATTTGGAGTTTGCGAGTTTCTCTTCCCGTGGCCGCGTGGATTTTTCTCCAGTTCCTCCGGTTTCTCCCTAAAAATTTAGAATCAGCGTCACGCCTTTCGAGTATTTGGCTGCTATAAATTTCCACACGGTGACAAGCCACTTCGTTATCATTTGCGGCCGGGTCGCTTCTGAAAAATATCTACACAGCTCCATGGGCCCTTACCTGGTGAAATAAAAAAATATGATGAGATTCGAATATATGTGTGGCATACGCTTGTAAAGCTATCAACGTTGCCACTGCAACGAAGGCAACGACGTTGCAATGGCGCACGGCCGTCGAATCGGCTTTACTTTCGGAGTAGTTTTCTCACAAAGAAGATGAAGGAGCGCGCGAGGATTTTGACGAGGTTGCGTCGTGAGAGCCGCCCGCCGGTGGCAGAGGCCGCTCTGCTTCGCCGTTTGACCCCCGGTCACATTTTGAGGTCCCCCCCTTTTGCCAATTCGCGCTTCCGAGACCGACCGACGTCCCGGTGACACCGGGCGGTGTGTGATTCACCGCGGTCGACGACTGGGGATAAGCCACCGGTTTGGATAGATAACGTCGAGCCGTCGTGCAAGCTATTGTTTTTTTTTTACTTTGCTCAAAACATTTGATAAGGTGCTTTTTGAATCGGCCAAAAGTATTGTGAGGACACTGGCTTTGTGATGAATAACTGCAGCACCTGTACGTATATTACGAAAGAATATGAGTGGAGGGTGGTGGTGCAGTGGTTAGTCCACTGCGCTATGAAGCTGGTGACCTGAGTTTGATTCCTGGCCACGGCTAATATCACTGGCGAAGTGGTATCTCAACCGGCCCTGGGCAACTCGACCTTGACCAAACCCACACTGACCGGCCTGGTGAAGTATGGTCACGCAACCCCCCCCCCCCCATCACCCAACATGACTGACGAGAGTCTTCACCGAGCGGTGGACTGACAAAGGGCTGACATTTATTATTGGTACCATTTTATGAACTGACACGCGAACAAGCGCGTAGCGAATTATTCTCATCGACTCAACATCTCGCACGGTGGCAGACGTAACGAAGATCCGGGACTCGCGACCGCTTTGTTCGCAGCAGCGGCTGTGGTCCCCCTCCTTTGTGCAGCCTCCAGAAACACCGCCGTGCGTTTGAAATAAATGGCTCTGCATGGCAATCCCATGGCAACAGAGCTGCACGTGCTTTTGTCGTAGAATTAAGACAAATAATGTCATGTTCTTTGATAATGTAATGCACCTGTATACATTATACACACCCTGGGGGGGGGGGATATGGGGATCTGGAGTGGTGGCGTAGATATTCGTGCACTGCGATACGAAACGTGTGACCTGGCCACGGGCTAACATCAGTGGCGAGTTATGTCTGAACCGGCCCTGGGCCATGCCTTCACCAAACCGCACTGGCCAACGTGGTACGTATGTACGTTGAACTTTTTTGCACCGTACGTAGCCTAACGTGCCAATTGGAGGTGCGGGGGAAGGACAACAAAGTTTGGTGAAGTATGGTCAAGCAACCCGCATAACCGACAGGGTGTAGATGAGGCCTTCATCCAGCAGTGGATTAATAGAGGGCTGTGAATTATTATAAATATTATTACATGCATGTATAGATTCAAATCAAACTTGACTTATATAGCACAATTTGTACAAAGAACGCTACGCAAAGTGCTTTACAGGACTAAATTATATTCTTTGGGTCACGTAGAACAAAAAAATGTAACAAAAAATCTAGGACGTTTCGATCGCAACACAAGCAGCCGTCATCAGGAGGAAAAACTGAGGACTAAATTAAGCGACTTACGCAATGTGAACAACAAAAATAATTATACATTAAAAAATGACATCACATTATAACGAGCTAAAAGTCGAATTTAAATGCATAATAAACACATAATGAAAGCATCCTAAATTAAAAGCCAATCTAAAAAGCCAAAAGAGTACATATATACTACGCGCGTTGCGGTATGGTGTATTGAGAAGGCCCGCGTCAGTGCTGTGTGCGCGTGAACGCGCCGCCACTGAACGCGTTGGATAGCCGCCGTCGTAGGCACGAGCAGCAGGAGCTCCGCAGCCGTTCGTCGGCCCGCTCAGCCCGCCTCGAGCACCCACGACCACCGTCCCGTCGTCTCGAGCCGCACACAACCTCTCCTCGTCTCCTAGGGGGCGCTGGCTACGTAGACTTAGGAAACCCAGTGGCGCTCTCGTCGTGGGGAGCACGCGTGTCACTCTCGAGTTAACGCCGTCCTTCAGCACCCCCATCTGCTTATGTAAATGAGGTGCGAAGCTTTCCTCGGTGCCCACACGGCCGGATGTTGCAAAAGCAGAAGTTTTCACTCGCGCTGTTGCAGTTGCAGCTTGCTGCTGCCTGTTGCTGCCCGTTTCTCCTGTTGCTGCTGCTGCTGCTCTTGCCACTGTGGCTATTTCTGCTGCTGCTGCTGCTGGGAAGTTCCATTATTTCAGACATTCTCACTTTTTCGCCCATGCTGGGCTGCCGATGGTGCATCACGCTTTGTGGATGTCTCACCATTAACATTTTACACGAATAAACTGCATTTTCTAAAACTGTAGATAGTTACTTTCAAAACGCCTACTGTATGCGTCACTGTATTCGCATTTTTACATTCTGCCCAAGGTTCGCCCAACTTGTGACACTGCCCTGCTTCTAATGCAAAATACAAAAACAATCCCGGTCGGTAAATCTGACTGACGATGATTACCGTGTCACCATCGGGACGAACAGTTCAGCGGTCACCACGACGATGGCCAGCGGTTGAGAATCGGAGCGGAGTGGCGGGCAAAGTGCGGCAACAACGCCTGAGACCGCGTCCTCCGCGGAGATGGGAGCGGTGAAATCGACTCGCGCGCCAGCGCTCGATGGACTGTTGCATCGCGAGGCTGCGAGAGAGACGGTGACGGCTCAGCCTTTGTCCAGCAGTGGACAGGTCACGGCTCACGATGTTGATGGACTTAGGGAGAGGATGGAACCGAGTTCAGGCACCAGTTGGCGATGCTGTGGTGCGTGGCCAGCAATTGAACCTTGGTGCTGAGATTATTAAGTGTCGTGCGCTACCCGTTGCGTTCATTGTCATCTCACCACATGTATAGATCCACAGATATAAATGCTACAGTCCTGCTGTCTATATATATAAAAATAATACTGTCCCCGTGTATAATGGAGTTCATTTGTGCTTTGAAGTAAATCTGCCAATTGAAAGATGCAGGGCGGCAACAGGGGCTGTTGTGTGTGCCAAATTGTCAAGTTATTTCCAGTGCTGCGATGATATCCTTCCTATTGTCAAAGCTGCCTCGACCGTAATCCACGTTATGTGTGCAAGCTGCCAAGTGATTACATCCAGACTTAGCGGCTTTGGCCAGCGTATTCTGGTGGGCGTGGGGCTTTTTTAATCCTTCCCAGCAGTGAAATCTACAATCGTGCTGGCGAATCCAATCCGGTCACACGCACCGCGAAGAACCCATCGGCGCACCGGGAGCAGTGTGGCAACCGAACCCTTGGCACAAGTGGCATGCGGGAGGTGATTGCGGCACGTGTATCAAAAACTTGCGGATACGGCCAAACACCAGTGGCGCAGCGAGGTTGGCACGTACGTTGAGCTTATTTTGCACCGTGGCCAGCCGTGCAAATCGGAGGTGCTGTCAGTTGCGTAATGTGTTTTTAGCATTTGCAAACGCGGACCTTGGTTGCAAGGAGGTAAATTGTGTCCCCCCCCCCCTTCCTATTTCCTCCCCTCTTAATATCCCAGTGGCCTGGGGCCCCTCCGACTCTTGGGACCCTGTTGCAGTTGCACCGCCTGCACACTCAACGAGCACTCCGCTGCTTCAGTGCTGGAGTGTGGCACCAGGTAATGGGCATGGGTACAGGAGAGGAACAGGGGGTGTGCTGACAATTTATGCTCCACGCAAACTATTGGACCTGTGGGGGAGTGCGTTGGGTGCTAGGCAGTACGGCGCTGCCCGTCAATAGCCTTCATTGGTTCCCCCAAGGTTTAATGTGGCCCCAGTTTAAAATTGTTCTATTGCGACTGCCATCGTAGAATTCTTCCTGGGTTATGTTCTCATATTCTACGCTGATTTAGATATCAAACTAAAGTAAAAGGCAATTTAAAGGCGTTCTGTGTCAACGGGTCATAAACATTTTAGGCGTCGGCTAAGGCCTAGATCTCTAAGAAATCGAGGCCTGAAAGTGGACTCATTCATACTTCAGATTAGTTTACGTTTTACTAATCATTTACATTGCTTTGCCAATCCACGGCTGAATGAGTGCCTCCCCATGCCATGTCGATGAATTGGGTTGTTTGACAGTGCTGTACTTCAGTACAGGTTGGTAAAAGGGGGCAGTTGGCGGTGGCCCAGGCCAGTTTCGATAGCACCTGACCACTGCTGTTGGTCATAATCGGGAATCGAACTTGTGGTGGCTGGTTTGATAGCATAGTGCACTAACTACCGCACCATCCGCTCTCATTGCAGGTTTTTGTATTTTATCCGTGGAGTTCTGTAATATTGTATTTATAAGGAAGGCCAAGCTCTCCAGGGAGTCTCTTGGGTATCGCCAAATCTTAATCAAGCTCCGATGTACTTTGCAGGGGGGCACGGAGCGGGGAAAGGCATTGAAACACAAGGGTACAGCTTCATAAATCTCTGGATCTATGTTTGGGGTGTTTTTTTTGTTCCACTTCAATCATTCACTCATGCACAGCCCAGGCCACTGATGTGGTCAAGAGTTAGGTTTGGGAGGGGAATATACAGGCCAGAGCCTCTCGCTGTACTTTGTAGTTTGTCATATGGCTGGCAAATGTTGGGTTGATGTAATTTATATTCATTGCCATTGTGTGAGGTGGCAGGGATGGGGAGTGTCCAGCATTAAAGGAAATTCAACAAGACGCAGTATAGATTTATGAAGCCACTCTTGTCAAAACCCACCTCTTCCAATCGAGATAAAAAACGAGTTAAGGGAACATCTTGCATATGCCTGGATTAGGCAACGCTTTCCAATGGATGTATGTTTCTCCTGGGTAGTTTTTAATCAGCAGTAAGGATGTCGATGGATGGGTGGGTAGCTGTCAGGGCAAAATGCGTGTTTTTGTTAAATATTTGCAAATATGACGTTTTGCTCTGGATTGTTTCTCCTAAAATTATGGACCAAGCTCTGTTTTTGTTGGATGGATGGGCAGAGGTAATGCGTAAACACTTCCATACACGTTGGAAAGCATTGCCACTATATTCTTTCGTGGAACAGGAGAAAGTTATTAACTTTGTGAGTTATTGATCTAACTGAAAGCGCCGATCAAATGAAACCACTCATATACCAGCACGTATGTTTGAGAAAGCACTTTATACACAAGACACAAATTGACTACAGCGGTATGGCATGTGTCTACGAGAATTTTGCTGCACCACGCGAATGAGATACGGAAAAAGCTTTTGTTGTGTGAGTGCGCTTGTGTGTGTGTACAATTTATATATATATTTTGCTCTTTAACCAATTTTCTCCTGGTTGCGCCATTGATGTCACGTCATCAGAAAAAAACCAGTCCATTCCGAACTTTCCAAGAGCAGCGCTACCCCCAGATGTTTAGAGTATTGCCCAGGAAAGCAGACATAAACAGAGCTGCTTCTGAGATCCTTCCAAGTGTCCTCTGGTCCACACAGCGGAGGGCAGCACTTCCATACCCCCCCCCCCCTCCATTTAAGAGGCAGAGCGCCTACCACGGCGTAGTATCAACTTGGCCCCAGGTGAGTTGGCGTCATTGGCTAGGTGAGTGTTGAGGCAGGTCAAAATGACCGTGAGCTACCTATACCCCACCTGGGATGCAGGGTGTATTGTTTTACTTGCTGCTAATTAATTTCTCACTTGTAGCCAGAGGGAAATACAGTAAATGAAATGGCGATCAGAGTCAAAGAGATGCGTGCACACACACACAAAACACTTGCGCGTGAAATGCACGCTGATCTGCAGGCCTCTGACGAGTTTTCGGGTTGTTAGCGCGTGTTGTTCGGCACGATGTCCGACGTTTCGTTCCATGCCCTGGGAGCCTCTTCGAGATCTAAATTCAGGAACTGAACTCGGTTTCGGATGCAACCCGAAAACATGTGGGAGAGCTGTGTACAGCACAAGCACGACAGCCTATGCAGTTATCACACTAAAAAAAGATATGCAGTACATATTCAGGTTCTTGGAAACTTTTTGTTATCTTCAGTTTTAAAGCATGTTTTGGCTCCCCCGTATTACTTTGTATACAGAGTAATATGGGGAGCAGTGGTGTCGCGGTCAGCGCACTGCGCTATGAACCCGGCGACCCAAGTTCAACTCCCGCTCACGGCCAACACCAGTGACCATTATCTAAACCGGTCCTGGGCCTCTCCTGAGGTCGACTAGGACAAAGGCGGCCCTGGCGTGGTGCTGGCCACCCCACCTCGTGTGCCCTGCCGGCCTTCGTTAGGTGCTCGCTAATTGCACTTGCCCCAAAAGTGTGTTCACGCTCTGTTGGGGGGTGGATCTTTGTTCCTTGTGAACTGAGCGATGCCACGCTTCAGTTTAGCCACCGTGTCGCTTCCTCCAAGGCAGGGTTCATATTATACCGGCTTGCGAGGCGTTGTGAATTATTTCCTGAAGGTTTTTTGTTTCTTTTCTGTTGTTCGCCTTTAGCTCGGTTCACTTTGCAAGTGTGCCGATGTTCTCTCGTGTAAGGAAATGAAACAAAAATGTCTACTCAGAATAATGCAGCTGGCAGTGCATCATCCTGTCGGAGAATGGCCGCGGAAGATAATGTCACAGGTAGGACTTCTCAAGTCCCTTCAATAGGCCTCTTTATCCACACTCTGGACACAGCTTTTATATTCCCGGCAAAAAAATGTTTTTCTTCACAGGTCAGAAAGCAAACATTTTATAGTACCAATGGAGGAATTCATCCAATGTAACTGAAGAATCAAATTAGACACAATAGTTTTTTTGGCAACAGTCGTTGGCTTGTTACCAAGATGACCATCAGCCATCATCTCGCGACGCTCCTTAACCCAGTCATATCACAGGCGGCTGCCCAGATTTGAGCTCAAGGTTTTAAACCTGGAATCTCCGTGGTATCCGGCTCATTGCTGCAAGCCCCTTGAGTCACCCGGTCACCTGAAACCTGACAATGGCACTGAAGTGTTCGTCAAGGGTAGCACCGAGGTGGCATTGTGCTCCCAGGTGACCTGGACTCTCCTGCTGCATCAGCTTGGCTATGCCGGCAGTGACATGGGTCTTGGGTCCGGCTTGACGAAGACCGACTGTTCCTTGCTTAGTGCTCGGTGGCTTCATGACTCCATTCGATTGTTTGCGGTCCATGTAGAGACGGTCGCCCGTCCGGGGATCCTCTTGGCTCGACTGCCACAGCGCAACGGAATGGTCGAGATGAGATGTTATGTAAGGTGCATTGGGATGCCGAGGCATGTAAGCGAGCACCGTGTAAATGCGAGTCGTTGTCCTTAACAACAAGGGGATAACGTCATCCATTTTGCAAGCGATAAAATTAAATAGAATAATTTAGCGCCTTTGGTGTTTGCACAATTCTGTGAGCGCGAATCCACCACATAGCTGTCAACCCCTTCCGTGCCTGCATTATTACAGACCAATTCAGATCTTATTGATCACCCCGTGCTCTTATAAATCTCAACGTTCACCCTACAAAGTCCCATCATCACAAGGGAGAAACACAAACAAATAGACAACAATTTTGGTGTTGTTGCCCGTATTGAAACTGCTGTACGGCGTATGGACCTGAAAACTAAATTTCCCTGTGCAATAATACGGGGTAACAGCTATGCCATCACGGAGGCGCCAACCCAGCTTTGTGCAGTTTGCGATGCCCGTAAATCAAGAGAGCGAGAAAGTGCGAGACGCTTCGCCCAGGTGGTGGTCATGTGATCGATGTGTTCCTGCATTAACACGCCCCATGCAAGACCACCCGCTCTCCATAACGGCTGCGTAAACGGTTCTCGCTCGGCGACGTGCGTGCCTCTGTTCAGCAACGCGGCCGCGTGGAGCTGGCGCCCGCGTCCGCGCCGCCGTGTGTGGCAGCGTTGACGACGGCGACGACAAAAGAATGGAAGCCGACAAAAAGAAAGAAATAACGATAGCGATGATACACTCTGCCAGCTCCTGTAAAATAATCTTTTTTTTTATATATTCGGGTCGGCTTTTGGAGGAGAAAAAACACAAAAAGATGTGCCCGTTACCAAGACACGTCCTGTGTACTTGGCCAACGTTCCGTGACGGAGTCGCGTTGCATGATCCCCCCCCCCACCCACCACAACCACCCCCGTCGGAGGTGCGATTGTGACCAATGCCCATGCACCTGCCGCCGGGTCCCGGAGTTCACGGAAACCCACGGGAGGACCGAGCGAACGCTGGGAGGTGTCTCTCCGTGGGGGAACCGTATTCACGGCGGTGGTCCCAAATCTCCCCTAAGGGGGGGGGGGGAGGGGGGGAGAAATCCCGAAGGAATTGACCGGCCCCAGCTCTCAAACATCTCCTCAGACATGCTCAGCCCTTCGCGTCAATCCGCTGCTGAGTGAGGTACTCTGTGTACTGCATGTTGAACTTCTTTCGCACCGTACAAAGCCAACCGTGCTAATCTGAGGTGCGGGGGAAGGACAACAGAGGTGTTATTGACCATACTTCACTATGCTGGACGTTGCCGGTTAGTAAAAGATGGGAACACATATCCGAGAGCATAGAAGTACAGTACAACAATGGATTTTGCTGGAATCCTCTCTGCTGTCTACCAAGTAGCTCTACAGACTATAACTAGCTATTAATGCCTGGTGGTCACCCATAAGAGCACTATCTAGGCTGAGTTATGGG